GTAAGAGAGGAGAGAACGCAAAACTGCATCTACTTCAGGAAGGGACACAGAGTATTGAGGAGTAGATCAGCTCTAGGTCTTCTCTAAGTTTAGAGCACTTGTGTCCTTGAGTCCCAGCCAGGAGTTCCTCCCCTAAAATATTCAGAACCAAGACCCGACTCTTGGTATCTCTGAGTTTGGAGTTTGTCTCAATCTCTGCCCACGCCCATAGGAGGGCCTATTGGTCTACACAGGGTTCCCAGTGGGCAGGGAACAGCCTACCTCCTCCACTGCCCCTTTGACTGATGAGGGAGGCCCTAGCATGTTTCTTAAGCATGTTGCCCCTGTTCCATACCACGTCATCCCGGCCTTCCACCCACATTACAGCTGACTGGACAGGAATGCACAATTCTACATGAGGCAGTCAATCTCTAGTCTGGCCAGTGACCTACAAGGTAGCTTAGAATGCCAAGTTTCAGCCCGTTAGGAATTTGAATTAGAGGGAGTCTGAATTTTGACAGACGTGGAGATGGGGATCAAGACAGAGATGATGGAGACTGAGGCAGCAATGGAGTGTTCTTGAGAGGTGCGTGAGTTGGGGAGATGCATGTCCTCCAAGGAGATAGGATGGAATATGAGTGAGCCGAAACTATGGGCTAGCCAAAAGTCAACCAACACAGTAGAGAAGAGTCACAGGGAGGGGCAGGAGAAGAGAGGAGACAGGTTACTAGTCACCCTACATGTGGGACACATGCCTGTCTTCTCAAAGGGGAGAATGATACAGCCTGCAGCTTAGTGGTTCACTGTTTTCTCTGATCCCCAAACCTCATTTCCAGGGCACAACAGGCTGGACTGTCAGCTGTTTCTGGGATTCTGCAAGATCTCTAACTCCTTACTCCTGGCTGTTTCCTTACAAAAAGACCCCCCCCCCCCCCCCCCCCCCCCCCCCCCCCCTTGATGTCGTAGGCACACGTCTCTTTCCCGCATGGGAGGATCTGAGGAGAAAAGGACGACAATCCCAGGCCATGCAAATGGGTTTTCTGCGGGGCAAGATGGTCTCTCTCTCGTCAGTGCAAAGCTTTGGCTGGATGAAAGCTAAGAGCAAGGACTTTAACAATGCCTCAGTTGTGCAAGAGAACCCCTCTCGATCTTGGGGACGCAAGTGTCATGATGGAAGCAATAAGTTAATTCCCAAAAAAAGTTATTTGTTTCAGTCTTTACCCTCAATAGAGGCCTGGGGTGGTCAGTTAGAGCAGGAAAATTAACAGGGGCGCTTATCACAGCTACATGGCTTCCCATCACCGTAGGATGCTCAGAATCAGGACAGGTTGCTGGAGATCATAGAGGAGTTGCCAAATGAATTTTGGAAAAGCTCCCTACACCAGGCTTTCTTAAACCGTAGTGGACCTACGAATCTCCTGGGAATCTTTTTAAGAATGCAGATTCTGGGGGGCGCCTGGGTGGCTTAGTCGGTTAAGCGTCCGACTTTCGCTTAGGTCATGATCTCGCGGTTCGTGGGTTCGAGCCCCGCGTCAGGCTCTGTGCTGACTGCCAGCTCAGAGCCTGGAGCCTGTTTCAGTCTGTGACTCCCTCTCTCTCTGACCCTCCCCTGCTCACGCTGTCTCTCTCTCTCCTAGAAATAAATAAAAACATTAAAAAAAAAAAAAAGAATGCAGATTCTGTTCAGTGTGTCTGGGGTGGGGCCCGAGAGTCTGTATTTCTAAAAAGCTCCCATAGGAGCTGAGGCCGCTGGTCTGGGAATGACGCTCAGAGGAGGAGACAGTGATAGGACCCCCGCCGCCTGAGCAGAGAAAGCCAGTCAGCATAACATCATGTCATTAGTGCTCATTAAAATACATGCAGGAGTCGTGGCCTCGGAGGGGCTGAGAGCAATTCCATGTCACTTGCCAGGGAACGTAAATGAAGCAGCTCTCAATCCCTTTAGTAAAGGAGAAGATACTTGAAACCTTCCTCCCGAATTCCAAAAGCCATTAAGAAACTGATGTCAGTATTTTTCTTTCTTAGCAAACTTGTAGCTTTGGGGCTAGAAGAACAGATAGGCTGAAGGACTGGGCAGGAAGGCTGGAGGATGGTCGGAGATTTCCTTCATGAATAACCCTTGACATTTCACAATGAGAAGAAGAGGAGCCATCCAGAACTCAGCGCATCATATGGAAACAGGTTCTACTTCAGACTAGGGGTTTAACACTTCAATCCCTCCCCCACATACTGACAAATCACACCTGTTTTATAAAACCACCCAAGAAGGTGGGTATACAAAAATTTGAGTTGTGCAGACTTACTGGTTGTTTCAAAAGATTCTTAATTTTTTTAAATGTTTACTTATTTTTGAGAGAGAGAGAGAGAGAGAGTGAGTGAGGGCTGGGCAGAGAGAGAGGGAGACACAGAATCTGAATCAAAAGACTCTTAAAAGCCTTGGAAGTTACTATATTCATTGTCTAGGATGGACCATGGGGAGGGGTGGAGCGTTCTACCCTGTTGACTCTACACATGTGTGTAAGGACTCCTTCTGAGGTAGTGTAGACCATATACAAGACCGCCACCCTTGAAAGAGGATGAGACTAGGTTATGTGTAGGGTTGGCTCAGGCTTAAAGTCAATCAGGAGCCCTGCAGATGCCTTTCCAGCCTGCCGGCCATCCACCCACCATCCCTAGACCCCCACCGCCTTCTGTGATGTAACCTGGAAAACTACACAAGCCATGGACACTGCCTATGGATTGTCGAGGGCTGCAGTAGGTTCCCTGAAGGTAGTGAGATCATCCTTGGGTCAGACGCTAAATGACACGGTGACCAGGAGGTTGACACTTACCTGATTATCATCTTTATTGCCCCTGGACTTCCGGCAACATGACCAACTCTTTCTTGTTTGCCTGGAACTTTCCTTGTCTCAACAGGAGTCACATATCCCTAGAAAATCCCCAGTTACCCAGTGAGATCCGGGTGGCAAAGAAATCACGTGGGAAGATACAAAAGGAAGAGAAAAGCCCAAGAAAACTGCAGGGGAGCTTTCCTGGATCCTAACAGTGAGCTAGGAATTGGGATTTATTCACAAAGAGAAAAGTATTGGAGGACAAGCATGCATGTTAAGACCAATTAGGAAGCTTTGCCTATAACTGACTGACATGCTACTGGAAGGTGTTTTACTTTAATGACCTCACCACTTGCCTTCCAACACCACTGAAATGACAAAAGGAGACATGTTCCCTTGTGTTTGTGCGGTAGACAAGAGCTTGACAGTCAACTGCAACCCACTTCTGAAGGTGAGGCCGATAAGAAAACTGTGTAAGAAGCACCAAGAGATAAAAAGAGTTGGCACTCTCATTGAACCTACTTAATCAGGCCACAAACCTTAGGATTCATTTTCTGAAACCAAAGATGCAAAAAAAAACCCTAAATTCCATACTATAAGCTAATCTGAAATTTGATATTTAAAGAAAAGAGAGGGAGAGAAAGTCTTGATGGAAGACCGCACTGGACCAGTCACTAATGTCAAACTCTTAAAACAAGCAGGTACTAAAATCCCAAGAATACCAAGCCATAATAAAGATATCATAAGCCTGATTTTTTTTGGACTCTGACATTGGCATCCACTTTAACCAAGCAAGATTAATTCATGACCTAGGAGCTTCGTGAGCTTATGTTTATTTATAATATTCAATATTCCCATAAGCACAAATGTTGCAAATGGAAGGTTGCATTCTGATAATGCCCATTTCTTCATTAAGATTTCATCATCCACCTACATTAGAAAGCCTCTCCCTACACTTTGTTACTTCTGCTTTCACCTTGTTTATTCCTGCCTTATTTGCTTAATCTTGAGATCCTGGCTCCCAGGCACTCTCAGATTTGAAAGAAGTAAAGTCTGTGCATTAGTGGGTCCTGGGCATGCATGATTTATGAGTGGCAGGTTTCCTGGCACAATTTAATGGTATGAGAGAGACTTTGTTCTAAACATTAAAGTGAAAGTCAAGAAGTGGCAACACTAGGTGAGATATTAGAACATATGGTGTGTAAAACAGTTTGGGGCAAGAGTTAACCAGTTCTTACGTGGTCAATTTCTTAATCTATGGGCTGATACTCTGGCCAGAAGGAGCCCTGACATTTGACCAACTACCAAAAGTCCTTTAAATTGTTATTCTGTTAACTTACCCAAATGAACTCTCACTCTGCAAAAAAAAATTTTTTTTAATTGGTAGCATTCATGTCAATGGAGAAAACAAGTATCTTTGAGTAGTCCAAAACCAATTCATCTTCCCTTTGGTAGGCATCCTAATAATATATTCAGGCCATTTTTCACCACATAATTCTCCCTGTGAGAGAATCTTTCATAAATCAGTCTATCAACCGGTGTTGCCAAATCTTTTAAAGCAAGGTGAAAACTTCTGTAGTTCCCAGAGAACTATCCTTCCAGACTAAAATGAGTTCAGCCATTGTTATGTGCCCATGTAATATAAAGGCTCGATACACAAGTCTATCTTTCTCATTACAACGTATGATCTCAAGTAAAACAACTTTTAATAGTCACAACTAAAAGTACTTAGTAACCAAGATAATCATTAAATTAAGACTTCCAAATGATACCTTGTATTTGAGATGTCCCAACTGCTTCCCACACAAACAAATAATGCCTAACTGTTCTTTGCAGATGGCTACATTGAAGAACTCAGGAGATCATAACTCAGGTCCTCAAATAACAACACCATCATTTTACATCTAAGTTTTTCACGTGTTGTGCAATGATTGCTCACAAGTGCCCCCAGAGACCTGGAAAGTTTCAAATCCCTGTGAAGAAGCATGGACAGATGAGGCCCATGGTTTGACAAAGCTCGGGATTCACAGACCACTTGAAACTTTGCGCCTACACAAGCCTTCCATCTCCTCGACAGTGGAAGCAACTCTGAACCACATTCACCACTGGGGGCAAGTGGACACCTCAGAGAACACTGGCCAGCGGATCGAGCCCAACACGGCACCTGGAGACACCGGGTTACCTTGTAGATTTTGCAATGGCAGAGTCATAATGCCTCCCGCTGCAGCTGCTGCTACCAGCCCTTGGATGTTGGTGAGATTCGCGGTAGGCAGTGTGAGGACCAGTCCTTGCTGCCCTCCTAGCTGTCCGGCCATGTTGAAGGGGATGAGGATAGGCTGGTTGAGGGCAGGTGTGCCTCCCGGCATCACGCCAGCGACGGCGGAGGCTAACTGTTGTGCCGTCAGAAGTGGCTGCAAGGAAACAGATAATCCTAGCTCACTTTCCAGTGGAACGAAGCAGGACATGGCCTTTTAAGGCATTTTATTCTACTTGAGCAGGGTCAGAAATTTCCTGAACAAGTAGCAAACAAGCATGCTCTATTCCAGAATGAACTAGTAGAAAAAAATAATTGAAATCACATTTCATTTGTTTCTTTGGAAAATTTCATTTGGTTTAGATTTCTTTTGAGGATCTCAAATACCTCTTAGTATACCCTCCACATATGTATTATTCTTCCACTGAATTTTCATTTGATCTTACCCTTATATATTTGAAATTCTCTGCTAATCTGTTCTGTGTTGTTCCAGGAAGAACTGAGTGGCATCAGAGGATTTTTTTTTTAGCTCAAAGGTAACAATAAATACTATTTTTTATTTACTAACTTAGCAAGAATAATGAAAAGAATTACATCCTGCTGGTGAGTCTGTAGTGACACCATTAGGGGGGTTTAGGACATGTACACAATCATAACCCTTTTGGAAAGCAATGTACAAATCTATATCAAGAGCTGCAAAAATATTTGACCTCTTTTGACTGAGAATATACTCCAGGGGTACAGCCTGAAGATAACATTCAAAAAGACAAAGCAGAGGCTCCTGGGTGGTTCAGACAGTTCAGCATCCAACTATTGGTTTTGACTCATGTCGTGATCTCATGGTTCATGAGTTTGAGCACCATATTGGGCTCCGCACTGAGAAGGCAGAGCCTGCTTTGGAGTCTCTCTCATTCCCTTTCTCTCTGCCCCTCCTGCTCTCTCTCTCTTTCTCTCTCTCTGAGAATACATAAACTTAAAACATTGTTAGAAAATTGTAAAAAGACAAAAGATAGATGAATGAAAATATACATTATGTTTTAAAATATATAAATGCTGAAACATACTTTGTTATAGTACTAAAGCTGACAAGATACTCCCTAATCGTTAAAGTGGGTCATTACGGCACTCTTTAGAAAAATAGAAAATGTTTATAAAATGAGAATACATAAAACAAACTGGATAATCATTAGGCAATGATAATGAAATCATTAAAATGGTGAAATCCTGTGTGGATGATTAAGAGATCTGAAAAAAACTACAGAAAAACAAAAAAATTTGATGTGGCTAACTTAGAAAATCTTTTATAGATGTCTCCTGTTATTACTCTAACTTTCTTTGCTCAGTTCATACAAGATTAAAAACATGTTTGTAGCTACTATTTCTCTGATAGCCACTGTTTGATGTGGAAAGGCAGACTCATCAGTGTGTGCTTTGGGTCCCCGATGTATTTGAGCCTGAGTGTGGGCTTTCCACCAGGATGACCTAGGAGAGATTCTTGTCCAGGTCAGGCCAAATGACTAGAAGGGTCATTGATCTTAAAGTTCTTTATCTAGTACTTTATCCCACCCTTTTGGGAACCTTGTGACATATAATCCCATGTCCACTTTTGTTCTAGAGGAACCAATACCAAACTCTTCTTACTGAGGGCTTTCAACTTCTTTGAGTTTAATGCAGAATGATTCCATGAAGTCAGAGGTAATAAAATATAGGGATAGCATGAAGCCCAATAAATTGCAGCCAGGCACTATTCTAATATTGCTGTGTGTGTATTAATGCAGTTGTCCTACCAATGAGATCCAGAGAGATTAGTAATTTGCACCAAGTCCCCTGTCTAGTGCACGTGGGGGGTTCATGTAATGACAGATTCTCCAAAGCCCACGTCTCACCCCCTCTCACCATTCACTCTCAATACAGGGAACTGTTTTAGAGAAGAACGAAGGGAGGAGGGCTGAACCCACTCTCTGGCCTACAGATACCCCACGTAGCTCCTTCTGGGGAGGCCTCTGCACAAGCCCTGGGGCATTCCGCAGCCTAGTTTTAGACCACTCCCCAGGCCTAGCTTCTGATGTTATTAGACTCTACTGAATTTACACACAGTAACTGCCTCTCTTTAAAAAAATAAATACAATTGCTCTAAAGACAAAATTAGCATATTGTTTACGAACAAGTACAAAATTAGAAATTGGTGCTTGGATGGCTGATGTTACATCACTGTCAGCAGTAAGAGCATGATAGGAAGGAGGGCAAATGGCGTGTTCTCAGACCATACAGGTCGCAGAGTCGAGGTCTGGGCACATAGGATTTTTTTTAACTGAATCCTTGGGGTTAAAACAGAGCATGCGCTCTCCGTTTGTCACAGTGCCCACCCGCTTCTCACTGTCTGGGTCTGTCATGCACTTATCTGACCCAGAGGCATGAGTTTGTCAACGCTGGTATGTTCACACACACATGCACACGCACATACACACACACACACACACACACACACAACATCACAAGCATGACGTTAGAAAAGGCATGGCCAGAGGAAGCTGGCTTCGGAGATTCCCTGTAGAACCCTCTCTGCGCTTCCATAGGCGAACAGACACCTCCCCAGGCTTTCTGCCCTTGAGCACCGAGGCATCCGTGCTCTGAGACAGACATTACGACCTGAGACAGATGTTAGGACTTGGTGGCAGCTGGAACAAGAAAGCCAAGACCACCACCCAAGCCCTTAAAATGGGGTTTGCACGTCTTCAGTCAGTGAGCCCTCAAAATGCTGAAAGTGATTAATTTCCAGAGACAACATGACAGCAAAAGAGAGAGAAAGGCTCATGTATCAGCTTCTTTTCCCATAAAAGCAGGTGAACTCCAAAAGCTTTCATACTAAATGACAGAGGTAAAACACACACACACACACACACACACACACACACACACAAAACACAACAGCAAAGATCCCAGCTTTTATAATTGTGTTCTACATCTCCATATAACCATGCCAGGCTGCAAAAAAACAAATATTAGACTTTAAAAAATAATGAATGTATTTCTTTATTAATGCAAGAGCTGTATGTGATGTACAGTATTGTCAAACCCAATAAGCTGAACTTGCATTAAAATTGCATTAACTTTTTTATATTAAATCACATCTTGTATTTCAAAAATGGCTATCGTAAGGTTGAAATAACTTAATTTCCTTCACACTCCAGTCATTAAAGTTTTACTTTCTACAAGGCTGCATAGTAACCAATGGCACAGTTGTAGTGGATTTCAAGGAAAAAAAGAAAATATTCCAAATGATTAAAACCAACATTTCCCTTTAAAAAGAGAGTTCTGTGAACACTTTTTTTCCTTGATGATAGTTAATAAATAATGTAGTCCTACAATTTCCCCATATGAAAATTTATTGCCCCGTGTGCTCTGTTGGAGTTGATTGGATTTCACTCGTTATTATTTATTTGGTTATTTATATGGTTGAACCATCCTAAATGCAGCACTAATGGAAAGCAGTTGAAAGATACTGACCTGCGGCCCAACCGGGAAAGGGAGGTGGGTCTGACTGCCTTGGTGTTGGTCGGGAGTGCCTGGGTCTGATAGTGCTGGGTTTCCTCTGGCCCCTGGAATTCAAAAGAGAAGCACTCCCTTAATATAAGATCCAGCACATGACCCCATTTTCCTGTGATGTCACATAACATTAAGGTACAGATGACACGCCAGAGTGGTTTATCAATAGCTCGTGCTCAAATCACTTGTCAACTGCATAAATTATGCTAACAGATATTCAGGATGGCCAGTTATTCTGGGAGGGAGAAGGCTGGGGGCGGGGGAGGGGGTGGAAGGGGGAAGGGGCGTGGCACCATCATCAGTGGCACTAATAGGCCTGCGTGAGCCATCAGTTTGCATAGGGGATGCCGATGCATGGCATGGGTGGGAAACTGCCTCCTTTATGCACAGGCTGGCAACAGCTGATCTAATTTCCTAAAGCCAGAGAAAGCGTGATCTCAGACATGACCAAGTACATCTATATTATCCCTTAATATGGCTTCATACCCGTAAGCCTTTTCTCCATGCATATAGCGGACACCAAATCCCAGGAATGTGTTTTCCTAAGGACAGCTTTTTTGCAATGACCTTAGGTGATATCCTGAAGAGCACGTGGATCTCCTGAAGCAAGTTTTCTGGGTGCTAACTGAAAGAGCAGGAATTCCTCACCAACTCCAGGGGGCCCCACTATTCTAAGCATAGAACACAACGTGCTTTCCTTGCTTGGAATCCTGTTGGATTCCAACAAATCATGAAACCTGAAATTCCACCAAAAGACCAAGTCTTTCATACTGTCTTTTTTAAAAAAAGTTTTTTAATCTTTATTTATTTTTGAGAAAGACACAGAGTGGGAGTGGAGGAGGGGCAGAGTGAGAGGGAGACACAGAATCTGAAGCAGGCTCCAGGCCCTGAGCTGTCAGCACAGAGCTGGACGTGGGACTCGAACTCCTGAACCGCGAGATCATGACCTGAGCCGAAGTCAGATGCTTAACCAACTGAGCCACCCAGGCACCCCAAACCTTCTTAAACAGGATCGCATCTCTATATGAGCTTCTGGGTTTTGTTTCAGGACAGACTGGAGCAGGAATGCAGTGGCAGTAACAATAAATAGATGAATAAGTGAACAAAACAAACAAAAATAAGGAAATAAAACCAACAGCAATTTTTGAGGGGTTTTACTCGGTAGCTTTTGTTTTCTTGGTGGTTTAAGTCCAATTCCAAGCCACCCTTAATGAGATCCTCTTTCCTGATGTTTGTCCTATGAATAGCAAGTGGAAGACAATTCAAACCCTGTTTACCAGCATGCCACGGACGAGCAAGAAAAAAGATGATTCTGTCACGCTTATAAATTTTAAAGAAGGTATTATTGGCTCATTTAAAACAAATTCTTCTATATATTCTCCAAAGGGACAGACTTATAAATAATGGAAATGTGGGGGAAAAAATACTCCAGCACATTAAGCTACAAATAAAATTGACTGCTACATATTATTCAATTGACTTCTATCTCCACTGCGATGTGTCAATCATAACCGCATTTTATAATAGGATTAAGCAATAAATGTGCAAAGCCATTATGCAGAACTCTGAAAATCTGATTAATTTGTAATATTTTTTTGCGCAGAAAGTCAGGAATGGACACTGCTTGGGGAATACTTACAAGCATTCTATTGAAATTCCTAAATTGATTTGGAACAAACTAATAAAAACACAGACTTGCTGACATTTTATAAAGTGAATTCTGTCAAAATATGTTTGGCATTTTAATGATCGCTGTCATTTAATAACAAGGGTGAGATGACCCATCATAAGAGGCCCACAATTTCCTCATAATGTGCAGGAGACTTTCCTTCTAAATTTTTTATATACGATTTACTCATTATGCTTGAGTAGCCAGGCACTTGAAACTGTGCACTATCCAGGGTGAATCTTATATGTTCTGTTCTCATAGAACCAAGTCCAATTTCACCTTCAAATTCTCAGTAAGAGCTTTATGCACTTTTATTGAGCAAATCCAGCTCCCTAAGCGTACCAATCACCAATCACCAATCCCATACCAATCACTTAGGTGTGTTCCCAAATAGCTAAAAATACACTTTGGTGTAGTTTTTGAAGATACTTTAAAATTTTTCGTGGCTTCCTCGTACTCACCGGGCACGGATTTTTATGCCAGACTGAGAAAAGAGAGTTTTACAATACACAGGAAAAGAGAAAGCCCCTTTTCCACAATGAAAACACGTGTATGTCTTAATTTCAAAGAAATTTCTATACTGTTATTAGTCCCTCATGCCTCAGATTTCTTTCATGCAAACCAGGCTCACTTTTGGACACTGTTCTTTTTATTTTTAATTTCTTTTTAATGTTTATTTTTGAGAGAGTGAGACAGCACGTGTGTGTGTGGGGTGGGGGGAGCCGAGAGAGAGAGAGAGAGAGAGAGAGAATCCAAAGCAGGCTCCAGGCTCTGAGCTGTCAGCACAGAGCCCAATGCGGGGATCGAACCCACGAAGGTCGAGATCATGACCTGAGCCAAAGTCAGACACTTAACCAACTGAACCACTCAGGCGCTCCTGGACCCTATTCTTAATGACATGCCATCATAAGGTTTAGGATCTGGCCCACCCAGGCACTGTGTCATCAACATGGTGTGTCTGCTGCCCATAACTGTACACTGATTACATCTGCTTACATTTTATTCTTTGTTGCTGGAAGCCCTCACAAGCACACGGCACCTTGTTTTGAGCCTAGTTATTCTCAAAAATCATGTTCAGTGCAGTACAGGGCATTTCCACACAATTTCATGTGTAAAATGAAGTCTTTCACAGGCTTTAGAGGAGATTATGTATGCTCTCCTGCTTGGATCAAAAAGTAATGTTTCTTCTTAATGCGCATCTCCATTTTCCCCAAACACATGTATCATGCTTAACCTTGTAGGACCATAAACTAATCTGTCTGGTCGGAAGGCAGTTCCCAAATCAGGGGCCTTGTGGGAGCCAGAGGGGAGAATCCAGCAGTCAGAATAAATAGATGACACTGGTGAAGGATTTCTAAGAGATTTGAAGCAGCACTTAGGCACGCGTTAGCAGAGATTTGAGGTCACCTATTTCCATGGCCACAGACATGAAAACATGAAATTAAACAGGCGGGCAGTTTCCTCTGATCAGGATCCTAGGAAACATGCTACCTCTCTTGGAGATCAAGGATATCCAGAAAGCTCTCTTTGACCCATCCTGAATTTAATAGCCTGTGCTTTTCAGGCAGTGACCGTGAGCTTTAGCAGATCAGACGCAGTGTCCACTTGCTAACCACTGCACACTCAGGCCCTAATGCAGGCATGTCCTTTGCATCGGTTGAATGCAATCAGTGGAAACAGAGATTCGGCTTTTAATTTGGGGGTGGTAGAATTTCCATTAAGACAGGTAATGGCATCCACCTATTTACTAGTGTTTAGTATAAACCTTGGAAATATCTTTAAATTATCAGCTTATTGGCAAATTCTATCGCAATTCCAATTTAGATACAAAAAGGAGGTTGGTGTAGAGCGCCTGGGTGACTCAGTTGGTTGAGTGTCTGACTCTTCATTCAGCTCAGGTCATGATCCCGCAGTCATGGATCGAACCCGGTGTTGGGCTCCATGCTAAGTGTGGAGCCTGCTTAAGATTCTCTGTCTCCCTTGCTATGTCTCTTTCCCACCCCTCCCCACTCTTTCTCTTTAAAATAAATAGTAAAATAAATATAATTTTAAAAAAAAAAAGCAGTTTTGTGTACAGTTTAAAAGGAAGGGCTCTTTTATTTTAAATTTTTTCAATTTAATTAATTAATTAATTTTTTATAGTTTATTGTCAAGTTGGTTTACATATAACACCCAGTGCTCATCCCAACAAGTGCCCTCCTCCACGAGCAAGGGCTCTTTTAAATTTTAAACTCTGCCTAGGTTTACCTCTGCTACTTAACTAGGTATGGGAACTTGGACTTGTTTTCCAACTTCTTTATGCATCAGCTATCTCCTGCAGAAGTTCAGAGTAATAGCGCCTCCTTCGTAGGGTTGCTGCCGTAAGGATTAAATGAGCACACGGACTTGTAATTTTCTTGGAACAGTGCATCTTTGTCCCATACGAGCTAATTTTTTTTTTACTACTATTAATTGATAAGCTTCACTTTATAATTTAATATATTTAATATTATTGAATTTGCCCATAACGTTCACCTGCCCCAAGTCAACTCGACACCTACTCCAGTCCCTGTATGTGCAATCTACATTCTCCCCCGTGCCACCCTCACTGTGTACTCCGTACCGTTTGATGAATGTTTGCAACGGAACTTTAGGAGCCTATGAAGCCAGATGTTTACATATAACACTTCCTTCAGTCCGTGATAATGTGATCAGGGACTACGGCAAAACAATACTGGCAAACAGCTTCCAAATTCTCAGACGAGGGCTTAGACCAGTAGTTCCTATCCCGGCTGGGAATCTTGGGTTCGTGGAGTTTCCTGGACACAGGGGTTCACATTGCTCACGAGGCTACGGATGGAACAGCTCAGGGGTGGCAGTGGCTCCCATGTATGTTTTATAAAACCCGCCAGGGACTGAGGACCACAGGGTTGGGGTGGGGGTGTGTGGACCACAGTGGCGTCGATGCCGCCCACAGAAATCTGAATCTCCTTTCACTGACGAGCCATACATGACTAGTTCTGTGAACAGCAGAACAGCTTTGGCTGGCATTGCCTCCTCATCTGCCGAGTGTCTTCACCCGGAACACTCTTCCGTCTTATCCTGGTTGGCTTCTAGCTCAGCAAGGGAAAGAATCATCTCAGATACATCTATTTTGTAATTATGATTTGTTCACAGGTAATCCAAGGAGGGTAAAAACGGATTTTAAAGAGATCCTAATATAAAATTTGAAATAACTAAACAATAGGAGTCAATTCTCCAGATATACAGGGATCCCTGGCATAAGTCTGGTACAGACAGGAAAGGTCATGACTAGGAGTTATGCTAAGACAAAATTTAGTTTTGACTGTTAAAATGTCTGCTTGCCAGCCCACTGGTTCATTCCACAGCATCTTCCCCGTGTCA